CAGTTGTCACACTGCCTAACAATGGCACAAGAAAAAAACTGTCTAGAGACAAGTTATACATTCGATAATGGAGAGAGGAGTTAAATACTTGAGGGGTTTACTTAGGGTGCTGGCAGCTTTCCAACCATTGGCAGTTTTTTAATGAAGATGGGATGTTTAACCAAACAACAATGATTAATGTGACAGAGTTCTTTGTCCTGTGATCATCTGGAAAGCAGAGTGGTCTGGAAATTAGTTTACTGCAGTAGACACTGCTGTCAGATGGTACCAACCTGCAATGCTTTTGCTACAGTCACTCCCAAAATTACAGTCCACAGCTATACTCCTTGCATTTTATATTATTTCACTTCATTTAGAGGCTTGGTTTCCTCAGCTGAGGAAGCCCCTGTTTCTAGGTCCAACAGTGACTCAGGACCTTTCTGCTATGGAGTCTCTGTCTCGGATTGCTCCCTGCAAGCAGCCTCTCCTGGCTGTTTTTGTCTGCTTTGGAGAAAAGCCTGAAGTGAGTGAACTCGATACCTGTGTCCTGCGAGTGGGGTTCAGCATCACCACATGCCTCAGTGCGGGGGGACAAATCTGGGAAAGCATGGGCAGGACTGAGGCTACATGTTCCAACTGCAGGATTCTGAGCAAGGGGATTTGGGCAAGACCCACCCATTTCGGCCTCCAGTAACACGTCCTGAAAAGGTGGGATAACAAGGAGAGACAATAGACCTCAAGGATACAATGAAATCCTTAACTGAGGAATTCACCTCCATGTCTGTCGGGCAGCAATGCTGGGAGAAGTGACCTGGGGTGGTCATGGATTTATGTGGCCACAGAGCCTCAAGGAGCTCACACCTGAGTCCAGTGGTGTGGAAGGCTGGTACCTCGTTTCCCCTGTCCCGGATTGTCCTCTACTGCTCCAGGGTGTTTGGCATGTAGGCAAGATTCAGAGGTGAGGGAGTGGTTTGCTGTACAGTTATAAAAGACTGCAGCTGCTTAAATCCGACCTAAATATCTTCCAGATTATACAGCCCGATGCTCTGTTTGAAAACGCACAAGTCGCTGTCTGCTGGGTCTTCCTCCCTCAAGTGACCCAGGGGCACGGACTGGCCACGAGTGAGAGCACTCGCGCTCTGCGGCGGCCGTGGGTTGCCCCAAGCCGTGACAGCACAGGGTGTTGCCGACTGGCACGGAGCGCATCGGCCGCTCGCCGTGCCCCCTGCGCGGCTGGCTCCGGCTGCCCCGGCTCCGTCCGTGCTCCGGGACACGGGGCACGGCCGGGCACGGCAGCGCCGCCGCCCCGTGCCGGGGCGGGCAGCCCGCAAGCCGCGGCACCCGCGCTGGGTCACCGCGCTCCGGGCAGCCCCTGTACCTTCGCTTTCCTGGAAAGCAGTTTCTCTTCGTTACTGAGAACAGCCCTGCTCTGGTGGAGGAAGGAGGGGCCTTGCCACCGCTTCATGCAAAGGGGCCACTACTTGTGCTAATTTTTCTCGTAAGAGTGGAACAAAACCAGCCTCTGCTCGCTCTAAACCACTGAAGGTGTTTGTTTTTGTTTGGTTGGGTTTTTTGGGTTGGTTGGTTTTTTTTTTGTTTTTTTTTTGGTTTTTTTTTTTTTTTTTTTTTTTTTTTTTTCCTGGGAGAGCAGAGGAACAGGGCTGGGGGATTTTTGTGTGTTGGTTTAGTCCTCCTGGCTCTCTCTTTTTGTGGTATTGGGTTTTTTCCCTTCTTCTTAATGCTTTGCTGTTAGCACCTCCTAAAAGGAGGCTTTTAGCAAGTTAAGAGAGAGACTATCTCAAAAGGGGAGGAGAGGTCAAAAGGGAAAAACTACCTAAGACTGAATGCAATCAAACATTGCACATTTTGTATTCTTGGCAGGTTGGACTTGCAGCACATCAGGAGATGGTGGCAGTCATTTCCTACCCACCCCACAAGCATCCTTCCATCCTCCTATCTGTACAAAATCTCAGGCACTGCCCACATCACCTCTCAACCCAGGGTACCCAAGCCTTCCCCTTGCTTTCTTCTCTTGCTTTCTTTCCCATTTAACCACTTGGCAGGAAGCCCCCAGCTTGGGGCCCCATGTCTGGGCCACTTGGTCAGCTACATTGTCAGGGCAGTTCCATATCCTACTCACATCCCATCCAGACAGTCAGTGTCCACACCAGTGTCTGGTGGGAGCCCAGTAAGGCACTGAGATCCTAAGCAATTGGTCACCTGTGATGTGGAATTGGTGCTCCAGCCCCAGCTGAGCTTCCACACACAGGTCTGCAAAGCTGAAGGGCAAGTCACTACTGGGTGATCTAACGTGTTCACTCATCTTCCCTCCTCTCTGCCCTCCATGTTCTTCTCCTTTGGTCTTTTGGTATCTTTTTTCTTTTCTTCTGCAGATTTTCAATGTTTCATTATCTGCAGTTCTTTCCCCTCATCATATTATCCTCTCCCTTCCTCTGAGGCAGTGTTTGCCTTTTGCCTTCCCAGAAAACCATCTTTATTCAGTAGTTTGCAATGACCTGCTCCAAAATACTGTTCTTTTTCCCACACCTCCCAAAGTGACAGGAGTAAATAGGCAGACTGTGGCTCCTTCTACCTTATGCAAGATGTAAGGAATCTGCATGCTGAGGAGTGAAGATGTTGGGGTGTTACTTACCAAAGACTTGGAGATTGCTGAAGAACAAGCAGAGAAACACCATAAAGTAGAACTATGATCCAAAGGTAGAATTAATTCAGACCTACTGCTGTCAGCAGCAGGACTTCAGGAAAAACTCTCTGGAAATGGTTAATTCTGTCAGCAGCTCTATCAATGAATGCTTTCATGTTTAATGTAGTTTAAAGGGGATAGTGAGGGTATGTGTATCCATATGCAGGGAAAAATTGAGGGGTAGGAGAAAACTTGTAAATCCTAAGAACAAATCCTGGCACCTTCTTGGGAGCTATTCCTTGTCACACTGTCATCAGCATTCTGGGCATCTCAAAAACTGTCTTTAGGAGGGATCCTGCTATCTCCAGAGATGCAGCAGTGGGCAGTGTTCAAATTAGCCTGCCTGTATTCTCACTGTCATTACACAAAGCCTTTCAGCTGACTGCCTTCTCCTCCTTCACTGCACCGGACACAAGCTATTTCAGCATTCTGGTGTTTTCCACCTATAATGAAGCCACCTCAGAGGTACCTTGATCCTGAAGACATGTTGGACCCTATGGTTTAGATCTAAGCTGTGGAAAGCTGCGGTCAATGGTGCCATTGTGACATGTCCCACTGGCTTTTACGGCTGAAGACGATTGCTGAAATCCACTTCAGCTGTAACTGCTGCCAGATCACAGTTTCGAGTGGATGAGAGAAGTATGAGCAAGACCCATAGGCAATCTCAGAGCAGTGAGGCTGGATGTTAACTTTTCACAGGCAAAGATGAAGAAGAAGAATAAAAGGTAGAATTAGACCAGGCCATTTAACATTAAGGCAAGGTGGCTGGAAAAGTCTATGAAGTCACCCAATAAATGTTATAAATATCCACAGAGGAAAACAGACTCCCTACTAGGCAACTGTAAAGCAAACCACAGGATATTTTTGAAGCTGCCATCCAAAAATACAAAGAAAAGTGTGACAAGCCTACTTAAAAACCAAAAATGGAACAGATGAGCACTTCATCCCTGCTGTGATTTAGAGCTCCAGTGGCAGGTCCTCCCACTGAAGCCGCTCTGAAAAAGAATAAAGTGCTTTGCCCAGATTCTTATGGAAGTTCAGAAATTCTTCTGTGGTCAGCAACATCTTCATGTTGATCGAAAGAAAAAACTGAAAAGAACTGATGTCTCAACGCTCAGTGGAACTTCTGGCAAGGCTGAGGATCAGATTCAGCAGCGTTTCTGACTGCTTTATGCTCCCTAGCAATGCCAAGCAGCTGTAAAGCTTTTAGTCTGCTGCTCAAGCTGGAATTACAGCTGCTTTGCATCACTAGGCTGGTACAGAGCAGCCAGAGCACATCTGCGTTGGGCGTTTGTATAGAGCTTTTTCAACAGGGCAGTTCACCTGGTATGCACACTCTAGGGAATGTGTGCAGCATCTAAATAAAGTATGTAGGTGAAAAGAAAATATGTAGGTGAAAGAGAGCTCTGATGACATGATCAAATCATAGCTTCATTACAGGCTAGGCCTTTAAACTGTGAGGTTTGTACTCCAAAGTTTGAATTCCAAAGTTTATCTTTTCTTCTATTACATCTATTCTCTCTGAGCAGCAATATGCTCATAGTATGCACCATGTGGTGCATTATTTATATTTCATATCATAACGTTTCTCTACATTTGTAATTTTTTACGTGATTTCCAATATTTTAATTTGACCCACCAAGGCAACAGCGTACGTTTCGGGACACGCTCCTCAAATGCGTATTACCCTGCCACACTCTGTGCTTCCAGGGTGCCCGGTGTCCTGAGAGCTCCTGCAGTGTCCGCGAGGAGCTGGGAGAACTCTGGCAGGGAAGGTCGGGGCAGGCTCTCTGTTTTCCGCTGGTGTAAGAGCCCTGTGCGCCCCCTCCCCGCCCCCATGGGCCCGGACATTGCCCCTTCCCCGGCGCTGGGAGCCCCGCGCTGCAGGGCAGGGATGGGGCAGGGAGGAGGGGCAGAGCCCGGACGAGCCGCCGCCTCCCCGGGCCGACACGTGGCTCCGGCGGGTCCCGGGGCTGGCGGATGCTGCCGTGCCGTCCCGGTGCGGTTCCTCAGCCAGTCTGCGGCGGAGGGGCTTTCACAGCATCCTTTTTCTTCCTTTCCTTTTTTTCCTTTCTCTCCCCCCCTCCCCCATCCATCCAAGTTTTCTTTTACAAAAGCCCAAACTTTTTTCTTCTTTACTTTTTTTTACTTTTTTTTTTTCCCCTTGCAAGAGCCACGCCGTGGAAAGACGGCGTGGTGGAGGAGGGAGAAACCCCTCCCCTTCCCCTCCCCCCGTGGCTCCTTCCTCGGAAAAGAAACATTTTGGGGGTTTCCTCCCCTCCTACCTCTCCCCTCCCTTCTGTGCCGCTCCGCTCCCCCGAGGCGAAGCCGCCGCCGCGGCGCCCGCCCGCCCCGCGGCCGAGGAGGGCCCGGCGGGGCAGCCTCGCCGCCCCCGGTAAGCCGCGCACCGGCCCTTTTGTGAGCGGAGGGGCCGGGGGGGGGGATGCGGGGAGCGGGGCCGCCTCCGTTTGGCTTCGGGGCGGGAGAGCGGCGGGGGCCGGGCCAGGCAGCGCCGCTGTCGCCCCGGCACTGAGCGCTCGCTCGCACCGGAGGCAGCGCCGCCCGCCCGTGGCCCCGGAGGTGCCGAGAGTAAGTTGTGCTGCGTTAACTGGAAACGGCCTTTTTGTGGGGCGGGCTGCGAGGAGTCTGTCTGTCTGTCCGTCTGCCTGCCTGCTCCGATCTCCCCTTGGCTTGCGAAGAGGTGCAGCCCCCGCTGATTTGGCTCCTGGGGATGTTGGGGCCGCTCTTGGCTGGGAAGAAGAAGCGTGTTGGGGCTTGGGGGGCTTTTCCCGAGGAGTCGAGGGAGATTTGGGGTGCCGGCATCTCACTGCCGGTCTTGAAGGGAGCCATGTGCTGTATTGGGGTGGCGGCGAGGTGCTGGGAGTAGCTTGGGTGGCTCCACGGGGACTGTCCTGCTGTCAGGGTGTTCTTCACGGCGTCAGGACAGGGAGATGTTTCCTTTAAAGTGAAACCTGCAAATTATGTAATGTCTTAGATGGGTCTGTAGGGAAGCAGCCGCACAGGTCTGGGTAACTTGGTCTTCACAGCACTTCTTACACATAAAGCACTGGAGAAGCGATGCTCAGAGTGTTACACTTAGTGTTAGCTGGAAAAGGGAGCTGCCTGCCAGAAGTGAAGGCGTTCCAGGGAAGAGGGGTAACTGTGAACCGGGGGTGTACATGCCCGCTTGGGGCTGCCTTGAAGGGCGGAGGAACTCGCCGTCCTCCAGACCTGGCACAGTCAGATCGCAGCCTCACACCTGCCGTTTCTCAGAAGATCAGTGCTGCGCGCCCATGAAAAGCCTCATCGCAAAGGTTATCGCTAAATCCTCCTTCTTTATGCAATCTGAGTCATGGTGCTCACAGCCATGCAGGATCCACTACTCACTTTTTCCCACAAACACACGCGTTGTTACTGAGAGTTTTGGAATGGTTACTGCGTAAAACCTCAGCTCATGCTACTCTTAGGTTTCTTTTTTTTTTTTTTTTTTTTAATTTAGTTAAAGTGTGTATTACTTCTTGCTAAAACAGGCTGGGAAACAGGATCTGGAAGAATCCCAGAGATAGCTGAGAAGAACTCAAGAATGCTAAGTTAATGTCCTTGGCTTTTTTCTTCTCCTACATGGTGAAGAATGGGGCATGTGGCTTGACCATTGTTCTGGAAAGTTGAGGGTAAAGAGTATTGTTAGCAAGCTGCTATTTAGGACTATGTGGTCCAGACAGTGCCATTTACTAGTTCTAGTCCTTGCAGCTCTCAGAGAATTTAAATTAAAAACCCAGTCACATGTTGGCCATACTCAATTCTGTAAAATGGGGTGGAATCGGAAATAACTAGTTTCCTGATGTTTCATTCTCTACTGACTGTGTCCTTAGGAAGGTATGCAAGCATATCTTCTTTCTCCAAACAACTGCAACTGCAATTCAGATGCTGTGTGAATGTCAAATGGCCCATTCAGTCACAGCAGGCAATGGTCATGTGCTTTAAAATCATGCACATGCACAGAAGTTTGTGAGACTGAGGCTGTATTATCACATAATGTTGCTTTTAGTTGAATCAAGTTACGATGAAGTGTGGCCAGTCGCTGCAGATGAAGCCAAGCTTTGTTTCTGTGTTCATGAGTGATTCTGCTGGGTATGTGATTTAAAACATAGTTGTTGAAGTATGGATTCTTGTTCCCTTCAGAGGGCAGGGCTCTTGGGCACAAACCCACAGGATTACTGGGATGCCAACCTCCCACACAAGTTCCCATCTTTTCCTGAGTTAAACTGGAATTTGGGCCTTTGTTATTTCTGTGCTCCTTGTTAATATTCTGTATGTTGCATGTCCTTTAATAACCTGGCTTATCACTTACTTAAAAGGGGGTTGAGTGGCAACACAGGGGTTTTCTATAAGGTTGTGTTGGAAGGCACAGGTAAACTGTGCTTGGGTCCCCAAAAATGGGCATAGAGGAGCACTAGGGAGAGGCTGAGCTTCTTCAGATCCTTCCAGGTGTGTGTCTCGGTCCTCACTGTGTCTGCTCAGAGAGGGCCAAATTCAGTTTCCAGATGACAGCTTCAAACATGCAGCCAGTGCCTCTTGCCCTCCTCAGTCCAGCTGCGATTTCTGTGAAGTTGGTGGTCGGTTTATGCAAGGATAGAGCTGGGGCTGGGTGGTGTAAATTCTTAATTGCTGTCACTAATACTGTGGTTGCATTGCTGAGAAACAAAGGAGAAAATGTGCCTTTAGAGTTGTGTTTTTTCCCTTGTTTCTCTTTTTCTCTGTCCCCACTGGGAATGTTTTGCTCTTTTCTCCTAGTTTTTCCCTGCAGCTCCTTGCCACCCGCTCTCCCCTTGCCACCCACAGGCTTCTCTGTCCTGATTTCTCCAGCCTTGGTTTGGTCAGCAATAAAGAGATAGTGCCAATACTTAAATCTGACATCATTTGGTTCGGGTTGATACTGTGGTTAGATTAATAAAAGCTGTGGGGAGGAGGTGTGTTCCTGAGCTGTTATTCCAGGCCGCTGCAGACCTCAGCTAGTGCTGCTTGCCAAAAGCTCACAAGATGGGAGAGGAGGGCACATGCATCTCTGTAACTTAAGATATGGATGGTGTGAGAGCGGAGTAAGCCATACAGGAACCATATATTTTAGAGGGTAAAGGTGTTAAGCCTATATGTCATTAGGAGGCATATTTATTTAAAATAATGCAACTAAATGCTGCATTAATTAGATCCTTGATTACATGTAAGTAGAGGCAGAGGCAGGTATGATAGCCACTTATCCCCTTTATCCTGTCAGTCTACTTCATTACAACCTACTCTTCTGGTTTGCATTTGTGCATATCCTGCATCCTTCTCCCTCAATAAGGTATTTATTAGCTCACCATTTTGCTGAAATCTGTCTCAACCTTTTAAAAAAAGGTGCAGTGCTGTTCGATGTAGTAGGATTTGGTGACTTTGTGTAGAATTCTTCCCCCTCTCCCCATACCAAGTGACAGGTTTCAAGTTAAGATTTAGAAGTCAGAGGTTTAGAAAATCCTACTTTTTAAACTTCTGGAACTCAATGCTTCTGTTCAATAGATATTTAATAGTGTAAAAATGTAAATTCAGTTTTAGTAGAATGGCTAAATGCTGGTTTGTGTTGTCTTTGGAGACTTCAGAGCTGCCCCTTATTTTCATCCTCTTCAGTGGAGAAATGAAAAGGCCTGTGTGCACTTCACAGGAAATGAGTGTCTGATACAGGCTCGCAGGCTGCACATTTCCAAGAACTGCTCTCAAGGTATTTTGATAATGCACATTCTCTCTGCCTTCTCCCTTCCTGCTCCTCCTGCACTTTGTGTGCTTCTGCTTGTTCGCAAACACATGCAGAGTTGAGGGGAAGAACCAACGGTGCCACTGTTAAGTTTGCAGATGGGCTCCTTTAGCTTTGTACTGGAGCAGGGGCTGGCAAAATTGGGACAAGCTGGCTGCATTTGGTTGCCTTTGTTGCAGAGGGCTTTTGTCCTTCCCCTCACTCCCTGCAAATGCTGAAAAAAATTTTGCCTTCAGACTGTGACTTGTGCAACGAGGGAGTTTTTGCATGTATGTGATTCTGCAGTTCAGAAACAGTTTGGATCTACTTTTGTACTTCCTCAGTAGCAAAGTTTATTTGAAAACTTAGGCTAAAGCTAAGAAAATGAGTGTGGCTGTTAGCTGTTGGAAAATGCCAGAGATCTGCAATCTGTGCTGTGTAGCTGGGCTTCTGCACGTCCTGCTGAAGGCCCCTGGCTGAAGCTGAGGGGATTCAGCATAAGTTTGCCTCGGTTGGCACACTAGTGGTGATAGCACAGGTTTGATTGTGCAGGAATGGATTGTTTGTGCTTTTTGACAGATCACCAGTGTTGTTCTTTATCCATATTTTAGTTCTACCTTGTATTCTGGTGAGATTTTGTGGTGTGGAAGGAGAGAAGTTGGAGCAACATTTACTGCTTTAGCAGTAAAGACTGAAATCTGCTGTTTGTGTAGGGTGCATGCCGATTTTCACGTCAGCAGATCCAAAGAAGAGGTGCTGTTCTTTTTAGTCATCAAAGAAAGAGGAAAACATGGACAGAGCTATTTTAACTCTGCAGCAGTCCATCGTTGATTCCTCATATTGACTTCATATGCCCTTGTTTACTACTTCAGTTTTGCACAAAGGACATTTATGCCGTGTGCTGGGCTCCTCTTAGTGTTATGTCAGGTTTGAATGGTTAAGAGATGTCTTAAAAAGGTGTTGCTCAAAACCCCAGCCCTTTGCTTCTGGATTCCTCTGCCTAAGGTCTGCTAAAGCATGATGTGGTGGGTACAGCATAGAAACAAAGCAAAGACATTTGAGAGGGAAGAGAAATGAGACTTCTCAGATCAGCTCTCTCACTTTCCCCAGTCTACATGATTGGAGTTTTTCCTTTTATGAGTTTTCAAATTAGTTACTTTTCAATCTTGGTCACCTTTGAACTTCCTCTCATCTGGTTTTCTGAAAGAATAAAAAAAGAATGTCCTGATTGTACTGCATCTTTCTCTAGCATCCTCTTGTATATATGTATCTGCTCTCTAAACTGAGCAAGAAATTTCTCCAGTCTCTCTCTGTACAGTTATGTGTTGCTTCTTATTACCCATCTTTAGGCCTACCCTCTTTGTTTCAGCTCTGTATGTTTTTATTTCAGGTAACTAGAACTGACTGTATTCTCTCAGGTGGTGACATTACTGTTACGTTCCCATCCATTTTGCACCCTCCCAGTCCTGCTTGCCTCTTGGTTTTTAAATGACTGCTTTTGCATTCGGAGCTGGAGCTTTCCTTAATGAGCCCTCAGCACTGTTACTTGGCTCATTGGTCAGCTGCACCACTTAATTTATTGCTCTTGAAAATATAGACCCAGCTGGTTTTTCTACAAGCCTGCGTGCATTTGTGTGTGTCAGGACACAAGAGTCCTGCCTGACCTCCTGCTGCTTTCCTGCTGACAAATTTTTAATGACCTCTGACTTTTCTGTCCTGCAGGGAGTGAAGTGATTTTGTCACTGTTTACCCTGGGAAGGCGATGGAGAGGGCTCACTGCGTTTTGAGTTGGATTTAAGCAACACGAGGCTGTGAGTTGCCTGCTGGGGAGCAAGGTTAGGCCTTGGGGGTGTTGTGGGTAATGACAGCTTGAAGATGGAGAGACAATTCTAGGAAGAGACCTGGGTCAGCCTGTGAGTTTGCACAGTCACGGGGGAGGGAGCTGCTTGCATAAAAGATGGAGGAGCCTTTGGGCTGCTTGTACCCACCAGCCTGTTGAGGAGTGAGGTGGGCTGCTCTGCAAAGTGGGCTGAGTCAAACCAGGGGGAAGATGCAGTGGCTGGGAGGGGGGCAGAGAGGTGACCAGATGTGCAGGGGCTGAAGTGCCTTGGTTTCCTCTGGCCACCCCTCTTCTACCTCCCATTCACCCTGTGGCATGACTGCCCCATGTCCTCTGCCCGTCTGCTTTACAGGTCCTGGCGTGCTGCTGGCTTTTTTGTGTTCCATGTCTTGCTTTTTGACTTGCTTTGAGGAAGCACAAAGTGTGTCCTGTCATCTGTTCCTTCAGGTGCCATCTGCCTGATGGGGAACTCTGCCTGGGGGTTGGCTCTCCCTCACACCAGGTAGCCGTGTGCTGCTCCTGCTTTAGCAGCACACATCGAAAAAAGTTCATTCCAATACTTGCAGCCCTCTGGCAATTGCTAGTGCAGCTGATTTGCTTGAGAGAACACTTGTTTGAGAGATGGTCTCTTTGTATCTCAACCATCCATTTCCAATTCCAAATCTCCAGGTATAGTCCACCGTGCCCAGCTGGCTTTCTGCTTTAATGTCACTTTCCCCTCTCTCTTCTGATAGAGCCCCCTCTTTTTTTCTTTCAGGTTAATCAGCATTAAATACTGGGAAATCTCAACATCCTGTGCAAGAAAAAATAATACCTGCTTGCTTGTGTAACTTTTCTGCAGTGTCCCTGTCCCCACTAGCTGGTATCCCACTCAACTAAATTATTCCCCCTGAGGTTTTCTGTTTTTGATAAACTGAAAATGCCATATGTTTTCTGGGTTTTGTTTCGTTTGTCTTGGCCACCTACTGTCCCAGTTTCATAACAGCCATCCTCATATAAATTTGCTCCCTACTGTCAGTAATTTATATTCCTTTATATTGGCTCCTCCAGGATTATTTTTTCATCTTCTAAAGGATTATTGAGGTTGTAGAGAGATTTGAATAGGGACTGTGGTTTTGTAGTGTGTGTGTGTTTGATGTCTCTGATCCACAGCAGAAGCTCTTGCCAGCTGTTGCACCTACAGCGATACCTGCAGTGTGACCCATATTGTCCCCCAAGCCTGTCCTCTTAGCCAGGCAGCATCTCTGCCGTCATTTGTGGGAGGTCTGCACACTCTGTCACTTAGGATTTCCTAAATAACCTTTCATGACTTAATTTTTTTAAAATTCTTTTTACTTTTGACTCTCAGGACTAGTTTCTTTATTTTGTGTGTTGGAAATCCCCCACTATAAAACTTAGTGTTGTGGTGTGTCTGTGCTTTCTGACCCTTGCCCTTTGCTCTGGAGGCACAGAACTGGTGCTGCATAATGGCCTCTCACGTCTTTTGAAGCTGGTCCTCCTGAAGAGCCAAGGCAGGGTGTTTCCCTTGTCCCCCTCTGGTCCTGTTGGTTAATCATCTGGGACTCCTCTAGCAGCATAGTTCTGGTAAGGATTCTGAACCAGCTTTAGCTGCAGACACTGCTAATTCCTCAGGGTTAGCTGCTTCTTTGAATTCCTTTCCGGCTCAGTGTGATGGTTTTGATAAAAAGCCGGACCACTGATGGCTTTTGTGTCTCAGGATTTACTCATTTCCTCAAACAGGGTTCTGGAACAAAGTCGATTTAGTAGAGAGAGGCAGAGGAAATGTACCTGTGCTGCTGCTCTGGGGGTGGGGGAAGCTGGTGGTGCTGGGGAGCCATGATGAGTTGGAGACAGCCCTGGGCGTACCCCCTTCCCACTGATCCCCCTCTCAGCAGGGAGATGGGATGGAGCATTTCAAGTAGGGAGACACGAGGGACTGCTGTTAGCTTGGCTTCTTTCTTCCTCCTTGTGTCCTCTCCCTGTCTCCTTGTTTCTGCCCCCAAGGTGGGGAGAGCTCCAGCCACCTTTCCAGAGGGCTGCTTCCTGAGCTGGTATGTGGTGTGGAGGGAGGGATGGCAAGGCAGCAGCCCAGATTTTGTGTTCCCTGGCCAAGCACAGGGCTGAGGTTTTGTGTAGTTGTGCAGTACTGACATTCACAGGAATGGCTGCTCGCTGTGAAACTGCAAAGGTCAGGAGCAACGCCACTGGGCTTCCCTCACTTACCAAAAATGCTGTTGGCCAGAGGCAAGCAACAACTCTCTGCTTAAGCCATAGCAGGATAGGCTCAGCTGCAGCTTTGGAACTTAGTAGTAACTCCTCCTGATTTCCTTTTTCTATTTTTTTTCTTCTTGTTTCCCCAGTTACAGGAGAAGGCAGAAATAATTCAGTCTTCAGTAGAAGATGTCTTTGGCAGAAGTCAGATGGTAGTTTTGGTAGTTTTACTTGCTGTGGAATAAGCTGTAGTTGCTTGTGACTGCTGCAGAGCAGCCTCTGAGACCAGGGAAGTGATGAGACTTCTTTGTTCTGAAATGGCAGGATTACAGTTTCACATTGGGCTATTTAGATGAGGAGTAGGCTCTTTTATTTGAACAAGTTTCTGAAAGTGCATAGTATTTCCAAGGCTTGAAAAGGGGACCCTAAAAATGGATGTCTTTCTTCTAACTCCTTCGATTAGCTCAGTAAACACATTTGTTTTTTCCTTTAAACTGCCACCTTGTTGGGTTTTTATTAACATGTGTCATGGAGAAACCAAAGTGCTTGCATACTTCCCTCCCTTGAAGAATATTTGGCACAGATCACACAGTCTTGTGGGTTTTCTTGGAGTAAAAACCTTTCAGCCCCTATCAGCAAAGTGCCATATTAATTCAGAAAACATGTGTCATAGAAAAATATGTTAAGAAGTACCAAATATTAATATCAGATCCATGCAAAGTTATTTGTGGGTTTTGAAGTATGTTCTCCAGACCCAAATGTCGGGAAGTGTTTGATAAGACAAGTGTTCTTGCAAGGTGTCCAACTGCTGATTCCCAGAGCCTGCATGCAGGATCTTCCTGCACTGTGTCTCTGCTGTGCGAAATAGGAGCTGCCACAGTGTGGGTGCTGCCTCAGCTTATTTTTTTAAACATTGCATCCTTATGTATGTGTGGTGTGGTTTGGTGTTTTTCCCACATATTCTCTCATGTGTCAGACATAATGGCACCCTCACATCAAACTGCCATGGCATAAAAAAGATAGAGGGAACTGCAATGTCTCCAAGGCCTGCTTTGTGCTGGAGAAATTGGCTGTGATTAACACTGGTTCTCTTGGCTGAGCTGGGCCACATTCTTCCTCTAACCACAGCTCCCTCTGTTCTCTTTGGCATGTCTGTCTGTGCATCTCCTTTCCCTTCCCCCTCCATGATCCTTTCTGGATCAGCCCTGATCTCCTTGGCTGTGGCAGGGTGCTCATTGGTGTGACCATGCACCGTGGCGGTGACAGCGCGGTTCAAACCAGTGCCGGTGTGTGGCAGGCGGTGGCGGCCTGAGAGCCAGCCTGGCCTACCATTAAACCCCAGTGCTGCGTGCTTGGCTCTTACCAGGGAGGTTTCTTCCAGCCCTTTGCTCAAGCTTTCCTTTGAAACAGCTTTCCCAGCCACAAATCAGTGGGCAGCACATTTCTGTGGGATGCAAACGTGCAAACAAGCGATGTCTGCTCCGGCGCTGCTGCCTGGAGTAGGGATGCTGTCGCAAGGCCTTGCAGGGTACGTTAGGGAGAGCTTTTCCTAATCCCAGCCTCCATCTAACTGCTCTGGGAACTGCAGGGTTGATATCTGGGAGATGTCAAAGCCAAATGGAGCAGGAATGGAAAAGTGTAATAATGGGATGGACCTGCAGTTTTGCTAGTGGCAAGTCAGTGTAGCTTGTGGGGTGTGTGCCCAGTTCGGACTGGGCTGGGGAGGATGTGGAGAAGCGATGTTACATGGGTACAAGTGAAGCTGTGCAGGGCCTGCCTCTGAAAGGTGTGCAGAAAGCTGGGATTGTTTTTTCAGCTTGCTAATGGATCCACTGACAGACACGTGATTGCACACATGGTGGTCTGCAGCTCCACCAGGTCAGTAGGTTTTACTTTGCCATCTGCGAGGAGGAAAAGTCTTGAGAGCTGGGGAAGCAGGGCAGAAGAGTGTGGGCCAGAACAGATTGGGTCACAGTGAATGTATACCTATGTGGTATCAAATTAGATACTCTAAATGTTGTGTTTTGTATTCAGAACAAGTTGGGATTTTGCTGTTCTGAATCCTTAGGTTTATTTCTGTTGCCGTCATCTCTTAACATTTGAGTTTTATGGTTCCTGCTTTTGGAAGATGATGGCAACTTTGTGGTCTTTCCACTTGTCCTTGGGCCACCTGTGAGCTGCCTGGACCTACTCAGCTCATGGCTTTGTAAATAGCAATAATAACTACAACAGCAACAATCTGCTGTCTCTGTTGCTATCTGAAGTGCTGTATACGTGTTTCTACAGTAACACAGATCAAAGAGATAGAGACAAACAACCTGTCCCCAGATTTGTTGTATTTTAGATCCACATTACAGCAAACTAATGGGCTTAGTCACCTGCTTGATGGATGTCTTTTTTTTTTCAAAGGATGGATTTGCTCTTAAGTAAAGCTGTGCAGAAACTGGGAAGTGCCGCATCAGAGCTTTTGAATTTGGACCACTTGCAGTCCTGACATTCAGAATCTCATCCCTATGGGTGGCAAAGACAAAGAGGTAAGCTTTTTCAAGTGTCCTAGAAGAAGAATGTGAGGATGCATCATAGCTGAGCACTTGAGGCTGATGTTGAACGTGCCAGATTTGTCAAGCCCCAGGGTGCAGGGCTGGCTTGGCTGAACCACACGCTGTGCACATCCCCTGGTTTACTAGAATTGTCTCCTTATATAAAACACCCTGCCTTGCCTGGGTCGTGAGTGAGGAGGAAAGCAGAATGCCCTGTGTCAAGAGCACTTATTTTGAAAAGCTCTTGAACTTGCACTAAATCAGAAAGTCTGGGGAAACTTATCCAGCCTTTTAATTAGCAGGACACCAGCTTTTTAGGATATGTTGCTTTGGCTGCAAGCATTGTTCTGACTTGCAGTAGAGAGGTAGTAACTTGTTTGGGTGTTGGGGTTTTTTGGGGCTTTTTGGAGGGGAAAAGAGGGAAAGCAAATCATGGTGTGACAAGTCAGCAGAACTAATTATGCATGTGTGTTTTATTACACCCCTGCCTTGGTTTATTCCTAATCCTGGGTCTGCACATCGTCCGTGATGTGGAGGCTGTGTATGCCTAGGACCTGTTGAGCCATTAAAAGTGAACCTTAAAGGTAGTATCAGGAAACCCTTTTAGGGCTAATATTACTGTAACTAATGCTGTGCTGCAAGCCAGGCACTTAGCTCTTGGAAATGGGTCACTGAAGCTAAACAAATTCCCCCCATCTCAGGCTCTGACCTATATGTAGATTTCAAACCAAGTGAGCAAATTTTCAAGGTGCTATTTTTGAATTTACTTTGAATTTGAAATTATGACAGTCTCAGATCTTAGTCAGCCAGATTTCTAGTAGGAGTGGATTTTTCTTAAAGGACTTGGCTGAATGACTAAAGGTTGAAAACTGGGAGAAACCAGTTTGGGTTTTTCTTCTGTCAAATAGAATCTGCAGCCCTAAACAAATTATATATTTGTTGTTATTTTTAGAACTAGCCTGGAATTGAAAGACAGCTGCCTGCTTCTGTTTTTGTGTTTGAATTAAATTTCCAACCTCCACCCATGAAATTGGCAAAATTTCCATTTGGACCCAAGAGAAATTGCTGTTTAGGAAGGTTCTTTATCACTCCTTTTGAAGCTACAGCCACAGCCCTAGAGGCACCTGGCAGATGACCTTTGTTTCCTATAGGAGCTGATGTCAGAGGGTTCTGTAGCTTCCTCACCCAGCAGAGAGAAGAAGGAGAGGGACAGAGATGCTGCAACTCTTTGTGGTGCCGTCTATGCTGAGTTTTCAGTGGTGATAGATGGCCCTTGTTGCTGTAGTGGTGACTGTGTGTGTTTGCATCCTGCTCACTAAATCACCTTCGCCTAAGATTTATTCTGACTTGCTGAATAGTCTGAGCAGCTTTCAACTGCTGGGGTTTTTTTCTTTCTTTCTTTCTTTTTAAATGGAAAAGAAAAACCCAACTTGATTAACTCCTTCCCACCCCTCCCACCTTTCTCTAAGCATGGAATTTCCCTCCTACTATGAAACTGTGTAGAGGGCAGGATCAACAGCACTCAGAACAGTACCAGGGACATTAGCAGCTTGTGGACTGCAAATCACAGGGCTATAAGCTGGATAAGCTTCCCAGGCTGCTCTTGGAAAGGATGCTTAGGGCTCCATATATGAAACGTGCCTGGCAGCTACATTATTTGTATTACTGTTAAGTATTGAGAGAGATGTTAGACTAGAAAAGATGTGTGGTAAGGCACTGCCAGGCACATGCCTGCTCTGCCTAACTACTGTGCCCCTGTGAAGGAAAGATGTGTGTCTTCTCCTAGGGTCCTCACCCAGCTAGCACAGCACCAAAAGGAATGTGAGGCTTTTGAATAGCTGGCAAAGGGTGTGAGACAGCTTGGGGGGAACCTTGCAAGGAGCTAAGCTTAACGTGAAGCTCTCCCTGCAGAGCAGGCCCAGCACAGGTCCCTGCACATTCCCTGGGGGGCTGCCTGCCTGTCTTATATGAGCCCTGAGCCCCAGTGCCCTGGCAAGTCTGTGGTGGGGGAGGGAGCTGCTGGAGATGAAGTGTGTCTCTTCCTCTGCTGCAGGCTGTGCCAGCACTCTGTTCTGCTCCAAGCATGGCTGTGCTGTGAGTGAGTATGACTGGGTTAATGGAGTATGTTAAGGGAGCGAGGGCAGCATTTGGCAGCGAGCTACTGACTTGTCAGGCCTGGGGAAGTTGTATGTTACAGCTCAGCTTCTCACACAGAATGAGCCTCTGGCTTAGGGCTGTGGGTTTTTTATTTGTGCCTATACAGACACACACATTTAGAATATATATTTTTTAAAATATAATTGAAGTGACTTGCATGGCTGATGGCAACACTGGGTTCAGAAATGCAAAACAGCCTGGTGGTAACACAAGGTGCAGGAGATGGGCAGGGTCATGACAGTACATTAGAGGATGGTGACTGGGAGAGGGCAGCATTGTCTGCAGGCAGGGGGAGTTGTCCTTCTGGAAGAAACAGCAGTTAAGAGTCTGGAAGGGCATCAGCAGTGCCTGGTACCAGTGTTAAGTGAGCTCATTCAAGGTAGTTTCAGCCTTGAAGTTGATGTAACATTTCTTGAGTAGTCTTGATCTGAGACCTTTGCTTTCTCCTGACATACTGAAACAGGCATGTCTTGGGACAAGGGAGTGGTTCCTGGGATTTGGGGGAGAAAGGCTCATACCTGTCTTCTGCTTTTGCTAAGTCCTATTGTCAATCTTTTTGCCAGAGAAAGGGTTGGAGAAGTGTGAGGAAACCTTTCTACCTTTCACTCAATGACAAAGTAAATGATACTTTCCTCCTTTAGGAAATCTTTCCCTTTTCATTTGTGGTGTCATTTCACCTTTCCAATCTCAAGGCTACTCTGAAGAGTCCCGAATGTCTATCAGAGGGAAATCTTGAAATGTTGAGATCTGCTGGGTTCAAACTAGCCTGCTGGAGAGTGTGTAGGAGCCCTTGGCTGTGAATCACAGAAACCCAATGGATGCAGAACTCTGTAAAGTGCCACCTTGTGCTGGTGGGGACCCAGCTGGAGTCCTTTCTGCGCATATATCCTTGGTTTTCCCCACAGCTGGGGGTTGGTGACATGCAATAGCTCCTTGGTACCCTCTTTGGTACTCGTGCTGGTCTTTCTCCCACGGGAAGTGTCTTGCCCAGGTTGAAGAAGGTATTGGGTTTGCCTCACTCTCCTTCTGTCCTACAGGCTGGATGCAGAGGAGGAAGCATGGTAAAGGCAGCATCTCTCCAGGATTCATGGGCTCTTTGAGAGATGATCAGAGGGAGGCCAGATGACCTGCACAACACACAGAGCACTGTTTCTCCTCTGCAAAGGCAGCATCGGAGCGTTCTCCCCAGCCCCGCGCCGCCCGGCTTGCCCGATCGTTTCCGGATGTTTCGCAGCTGCGAGTGGGAAGTCCTGGAGCGATCCCTCAATATCCTCCAGGCCAGTGACTTCTACTGGGGCCCCTTGTCCGTGGGGGAGGCTCACGCCAAGCTCCAGCGGGAGCCTGTAGGCACCTACTTGGTGCGGGACAGCTCGCAGGGGAACTGCTTGTTCAGCCTGAGCGTGCGGATGCCCACGGGGCCCGTCAGCCTTCGGATCTCTTTCCAGGAGGGCTATTTCCGCCTCAAGAACTGGTTTTCAGACTGCGTGGTCCGCCTGCTGGAGCTGGTGGTGGCGGGGACCCGGAACAACCCCTTGCACTTTGATGAGATGGGGGGAACTCCCCTGGTCTTCTCTGAGCCCCTGTGCCGGAGCCGGCGGGCAGTGCCCACCCTGCGAGAATTGTGCTGCCGGAGCCTCCCTGCTGGTGCCGCCACAGAGGGCAGAGCAGGGCTGGGGGGCTCCTTGGGAATGTGTCTGAGGGAAGGGGTGTTCTCACCCCTGGACAGACGGGGAGGGTCAGAGGGGAGCATTGGCCCCAGCCCCTCTCTGTCCTGGGCTAGGAGATGATGGATGCATATGGGAGATGAAAGGAGATGCCTCTTTTATGGCTGTGCTGGTGGGATGTGTGCCACACCAGTGATGCTGGACTGGCTGCTGGGAGAGGAAGGGGGAGGGTAGAGGGAGCAGAGCTTGAACCCTCTGTGGCTGTGACAGATGTTCCTCATACATACACAGTGAGTGTGACTTTCCCATATATGCCTGGGGTAAAGCCAGACCTAAAGAGCAGATATTGCCACTGCCACCAAGTCCTGCTCTTTGCTCCATTTAAAACTTAAAAGCTTCAGAAAAAGGTGAGCTGCCCGTCTTCCCAGGTCCACCCTGTGTTCTCTTCTACCCCAAAGTGCTTGAGCTCATTCCTGCCTCAAATCTGCCCTGGTGGAGTGCAGCTGAGTCCAGTCCCACAGCAGTGCAGCTTGGACATCGATGGGCATGACCCTTGTGCTGACCCACGAAGCTGTGGTGGAGCAAGAGCACGTTTCACTCCCTGCAGCATGAATGTGATGCCTGTTACTTCAGAGGCCGGTGTTTGCACCAAGTATGATACATGCAGCTTCACTGGCTTTTGCATTGCTTTATTCAATTGGATTTTGGAGAGTGAAGGTGGGTTATGCTGTACTTAAGGGCATGGCAGAGATAACCCTGGTCTGGAGAGTTGTATCTGCCCTGGGAGGGTGTGAAGAGATGGGATCCTGCACCCTTTCTTAAGCTCATGTGATAGTGTGCTGCTGCCATCTGTCGAGCATCAGAAGATGTTTTGGTTTTGCCTCTGAAAGGCAATGAATTTTTTATATAAAACTTATAAAATTTTAATAAAATTTTTATATTGATTTTTAAAAGTCAGTGAATACTTGGTGATAACTTCACTCCCTTCTAATGTTAGAAGCCCGGTTAGTTTAGTGCCCAGGCTTGGCAATCAAACGGAAACTGAATTAAGTGAATTTCTCATAAAGAACACAAGCAGAGCATAAATGAGTGGTCCTAGCTGGGAACATTAAACTTAAATTCATCTTGTAGTGTAATGTAGTGAAGAATTTTCTAAACAGAGAAACTTCTGAAAATCTCAGCCCTACATTTTTAGAAAGTTTTTTTTAGTACCTCAAAATTTGTACTGAGTGTTTGAAAAAAAATGAGTAATTCAAGATCTTAGAACAGGGCACAGCATCAGTGAACTTGAACTGGTGAGTATGAGTACAAATGGGAGGAACACAGTTGGCTTAAATAGGGTCATGGTTTATTTCAGGGATAGTCAGTATGATGTCTTCAAAATAAGTGATTGAAAACAGCTACATGAAAGAAGAAATTCAGGTACTCTAAAATTTGAGCCAAACTGTTTTATAGGCTGCTAAGCATCCCTAGCTGGGCAGACAGCCTGCTTTGCTCATGCTGACTTTCCTCTTCAGACCTGTATGGAAGAAAAAAGCTGAACAGGGAAAGAGAGCACACTGAATTTGCTCTATTGTCTTCAGCTGTTTTATCTGAGGAACTAAAGTGTGTGGTCAGCACAGAGAGAGATACAGGCTGTGATTCATCACAGGAGCCTAACTTACACTCTGAATTATTCTCTGGAGGGCTTTGTTGCCCTGCTGGCAGTGAGGTGCCTGGCTGGCTGCCTGTCTCAGGGCATTGGCTTATCAACCAAGGTAGTTAGATAAGTGTCAGGGAAGTGGTGATCTTGTCCTTGCTGCGTGCTCCTTCCAGCTGCAGGGAGGCCAGAGGCAGCTCGGTGCCCCTACAGCTACTGTGTCTCAGCCCAGTGCAAAAGCAGGAGCTGGGATTGTTCATTTCCGCAGGGTGTGTGCCCTGGGGTGGCTGACATGTGGGCATAGTGTTGCTTGCTGCCAGCATCTCAGGTGGCTCTGGGCACCTCTGGGACCGTTCCTGGGCTCTTGGGTGAAGGCCCTGCCTCAGCAGGGTCAGCCACACAGCTGCTCTCCCTCTCTGCCATGGAAGAGTGGGACTGGATCAGCTGGCCCAGGCATCAGGTCCTTTGCTTTCTTGAAGGTGTCTGCTGAGGTGCCTTGCCTCCCTTCCTGCCTTCCCTTCAGAAAGTAGGGGGGTGGAGGAGCAGTATAATTTCTTCCATGTTTAGAACTGAGCACAGGAATGCTTCTGTTTTCTGGCCACGGTTATACCTCACTGAGGGAAGAGCTTTCTGACGGTATTGCTCTGACCTGGCTGTGAACTGCTCTCATTTGGCCGCAAATGAGCATCTTGGGTTGTGCAGCTGGGGGCTGCAGAGAAGCCCTATTTGCAGCCTGGATTGCACTTCAGGAAAATCACACCATGGGAGAAGGAAATAGTTTGTATTTTAATAAAGTCTACTTTATTTTGTTCCTTTTTTTTTTTTTTTTTTTTTGTTTTTTTTTTTTTGTTTAATTGCGCAGCAAGCACTTGTCTCAGTCTTACAAGTAAGTCAATTCCATGCAGGGCTGCAGCGAATTGATTTGAGATCTGTGGATGAAAAGCAGTGAATTACTGCCAAGCATTGTTATATTGTGAAAGTTGAAAGCACATCATGTGTGAGTATCCTCATTATTCCCAAGGAGAGGTCACTCTGCAGATCAGGATTGGTGCAAGAAAGGAAATCAATGTAGAAAGAACAGGAAAGTGAAAAGTGCATTGGCTGAGGCAAGCATTAGAATCCTGCATTCTCTGCTTGGATGTTGGAAGAGAAACCTTTTTCTTTCGGCTCTTGAGAAAAAAGATGTACAAAGCAAAAGGGTAAGAATTTACTTCCGTGGGGTAACACTATCCTGCTGCTTTCATTAGAGTGGGAGATGTTCACTTTAATGACCCTGCCTCTGAATGGGTCCCTCTGTCACATAGGAGTAGCTCCTGGTGGTCTGTATCCAAATGTTTCTTTTGGTGGCTCCTAAGGGGACTTAAAAAGAAATTGCAAACTTCCTCACAACCTCTTGAGCACCATTTGGGGAATAGAGGAAAATTGTTTGCATTTTTATATGTTATGTTATACATTTCTCCAGCTGACTCATTTCACTTTGTCGAGGAAACTTACACAGGCTTTGCAGATGTTTTTTTTCAAGTGTTCTTCCTAACAGCAGAAGTTGAAAAGTTTAGTGCTTGCGAGAGGGGCTTTCTCTACCATGCTGTGAAGGGCCTGGATCTCAGTCCCAATATGCTGCAGGCATCCAGCAGGAAACTGCTCTTTGTCTGCTCCCAACTAGCCATCTGTTGGTAGTGCTCTGGGGCCCCAAGGGTTAATTTCCCAAAATTCTTCACTGGAACTTGCTAATAACTTCCATATGTACCCATGTGTGTGCTCAGGAGGGGCCCCACAGCCATCAGCTCTTGTAATAATACTTGATTACCTCTGACATAAAGGTCTGTATGTTGTTAAGGATCAGGATTCACAAAAATTCACAAAAAGACACAAGTTTGTGCAAAAACACTTAAAAAATGTATTAACATTTGGTCATCCTCAGTGATTTCTTAGGTAGTCAAGCTTCAAAATCAAGTCTGTGTACACACCGTGTGTGTAAGGTCTCAGTTTTGACCCTTACCCTGTTGTCCCTCTAAAAATGTGTATTTAGTCTTATGTGTCATTTATCTTTAAGTGTGCAATACCCCTTAATTTACAACACACCTTGGCTAGGGAAACGTGATGGGTTTGTCTGATGGAGTTCGTTTTGCCCCAGTTCCTCAGATGTTTGGCATCTGTACAGTTAAAACTGCACGCACTGGAGCTTTCTGCCTGCCCTGTGCCATTCCCTGGTGCAAAGGCCAGGCTGCTGGGGGCAGCCTTCAGAGAGAAGGCAGGTGTCAGAGGGAGAGGGAGATGTGGCAGAGTCGCTCTGAAACTCCTGATGCCTCCCTGCAGAGCTGCCTGGGTCTTGGCAGGCTCCTGCTGCCTTCTGATCTCAGCTGGGGCTGGCGGAGCTGAGGTTTTGATTCAGGCAAAGCAAAGTACTTCCAAACGTTTCCTATGCAAGGGCTGGCTCAATAGTAGGACTCTTCAGCCAGAAAAGAGATGGCTGAGGTCTGTGGCAGAGATCTGTAAAGCTTGACTGCTATGGAGTAGGTGACCATGTGTTTTCTTAAAAATCCAGGGAGGCGTCTGATGAAATACTTCAAGACTCAAAAGGAGACATTTCTTCATGTGACGTATAGTAGCTTAAGCTCTGGAAATCCCTGCCACAGGCCACCTGCAAGGCTAACCTCTATGTGGGTACAAAAAGGGATTAATGGTGATTGATGGAGCACCTCTGGAGGAGGAAAAGCAGAGTTGGAAAATAGGGGAGAGGCAGGATCCAGGTGGAGCTTTTGAGTTCTGTGCCTTGTGGAGCAGACCTCTGCTATGGCAGGAGTGTGGGAACAAGGCAGCCTCGGCTCAGCCTGAGGCTCAGCAGCACAGGGGGCAGCCCAGGCTAGCTGAGCCAGTGGCTTGGTGAGGGACAGCTGTGCTGAGCTCCCAGAACTGTGCTGGGCCTCTTGAGACACAGGGGTCTGCACCTGGCAGACCTGTACACCCTCCCTGCAGTGCAGTTGCGTGCCCCAGAGTTTGATGGCAGCCCCAAAGGGAGCAGCCCTCGGGCGCTTCTTCCAGCTTTCACAAGCAGAAAAATTGGGACACCCATCTGATGCCTGGAGGCAAGCATCAGCACAGGCTGAGGATAAAAACATCACCATCACTCAGAATGAGTGAAGGAGCCTGAATTGTCAGCTGGGGGCACTGGGGGAGGCCAGCATCAGCCCGAGGTGACGGCTGGTGGGGGCAGAGCTGGGGGCTCCCAGCCTAACTGCATGTCAGAAAGGAGCTGCAGAGCTTTGAGAAGCAAAGCACTAGGCAGGCTGCTAGGTTCATCCATCCCAGAGCAAATGACTTGCATACACTTTTAAATATTTTTGCCTCCTGAGCTACCTGCTTTCCCAAGACACCATCCTTGCCATCAGAGCTCTCAATCTTTGAGCTGGTCCCAGATGCCACTGAAATCAATGACCAGATTATTGTTCCTTTCTGAAGATTTTGGATTAGGCCTCCCTGTTTTGTGAGGCTGATGTGAGCAAAATGTGGGTTTTCCACACTAAACATAATCAAAACAAACGCTGCTCCCACTGGTTTGTGCAACAAATCATGCTGGGGGAATTGCTGGCATTCGGCATGATTAGCCCA